CTGTAGGTGGATGGGGTTTATTTTGTGAGCCTGTGCTTTTTCCCCCCGGTTCCTCTTTTCTCAAGCTTAACTTCTCCCCCTTTTCATCACTTTAGACGCGCTCTTTTCTGTCTGTTATTCTTGTCTGTGTGTTCCCTGTGTGTGTGTGTGTGTGTGTGTGTGTGTGTGTGTGTGGTTGGCGTGAGACGATGTGGGGGGTTGCGGGTGTCGGCAGTGGGAGTCACACGCGGACATGGCACAAAGGACAATGCAGCACAACAGAAAAAGCACGCAATGAACCTGCAGCAATGAATAACAGCATCATAGCGCCTCCACAGTGTGTGTGTGCGCGCGCGCGCGTGTGTGTGTCCAGGCGTGCGTGCATGTGTGTGTGCATGTGTGTGCGCGTGTGCGTGCGTGCATATGCGTGCGTGCATGCATGTGTGTGTGTGTGCATGTGTGTGTGTGTGTGTGCATGTGTGTGTGTGTGCGTGCGTGAGTGTGTGTGTGTCTGTACCGAAAGCGTCGATGACTTCGGAGAGGGCGATTCTCTTTTTTGATGGGGACGGGTTGAGGCCGCCGTTGTTTGCGCGCCGGAACTTGTCGGGATCAAACTGATGATGATGATGATGATGATGATGATGATGATGATGATGATGATGATGATGATGATGATGATGATGATGATGATGATGATGATGATGATGGCAGTGGTGATATGTGTGTGTGTGGTAGTAGGAGTCATGGTTGGTAGTGTCGGTGTGTCGTGGATGGACACGGGCGGGAGAAGGGAGTTGTGCTGTCACATCACTTTTGTTTCCCGCCACCGAGCGGCGACGCAAGGCAAAGCAAACCCGTGCATATGTGTGTGTGTGTGCATGAAACGATACCTGAACTTGCGGCTTGCGGTGCTGAAGGGCGTGTTCGGATTCCTCGTTGATGTTCTGGTGAGAAACAACAAACCAACATACAAACACACACATACACACATACACGCATACACATGTACATACACACCCCCGTGGCGTGAGTGAGTGCATACGTGACTGAAGACGCATGGCAGCACCAGCGCGCGCGATTGTGTGTGTGTGTGTGTGTGAACATGTCACACTGTCACAGCTGCAGCAGCCACGAAACACGTCGCCTGTCGTGGGAACACTATCACATTATCACAGCAACACGTGTTGCCGTGTACAACTGCACAACAGCACACCTCTTCGTCAGCACCTCGCATGGTCTCGCCACATATCACATCACATAACACCACACGTTGCATCAATCCAACAATCAGCGTTTGCACCACCGTGAACCACCGTGAACCACCGACCGCCTGCAACTTACAGCAAGGGACGATCCAATCTCGTTCATGGCATCATCGATATCGCGAACATTCACGCTGATGCCGGCCCTGTTCGCCGGCGCCAGACCATCAATGCCAGGGGGCGGGCCTACGGTGCCATTGGTGGTGGTGGTGGTGGTGGTGGTGGTGGTGGTGTGGGAAGGTGTGGGTAGGTGTGAGGGAAATGCAAAGGGTTGAGACTGCAGTGGACGAGACAAGAGAGCACACGCACACGCACACGTACATAGACACAGACAGAAACACCACAAGCAGACAAGCACACGTACACACACACACACACAACACACAAGCACAGGCACACACATACAGACACAGACAGGCACACACAGGCACGCACACACACTAACAACACAGACACAGAGTCACACATCAGGACGATGGTGTGTGTACCAACCTGGTGGCTGTGGCACGTCTGGTTTTGCCTTGGCCTCCACTTTCCTGTCTATGGCTTCGAGCAAGAGTTGCTCTTCCGTCTTTGGTCTGTTGATGATTCCAGCACAGTACGAAAGGAGGGAGGGGGCAATGACTTGTTAGTTGAGGTGCAACGAAGGTGTAGTGCAAGTGGAGCTGCAAGCCAAACTGACACACACGCGACAGAGATTGGTGCAAGCGCACGAGGACTGGTGCAAGCACGCAAATAAAGATCAAGACAAACCCTCGCACACATAGATGCACACACACACACACACACACACACACACACACACACACACAACAGCTCACACACACACGCACACACAAAGCTCACACAACACACGCACACAAGCAAACATTCGCATATGCATACACACGTCACTCACTGCTCAGTGCCAGGGAAGTGGGCCTTGGCATCGCCGTGCTCTTGGGTGTGAGGTGGGACGAGCGAAGCCTTTGATGAGCGCTGGCTCACTTTTGATTCAGGTCCTATGCTCGATGGCACAGAGCTCTGCCGATCAAGTGGAGCAAGCGGAGCACTGATGCCGGCTGGGGATGCCACATCGCTGATGCCGTGGTAGTGTAAGTCTGCTGCTGCTGCCGTTGTTGTTGTGACTGTGGGCGTAGGATCGTCACGATGCATGTTCTTCTGTATGCTGGGGCTGAGCCGGTCATTGTCGCTGTTGGTGGCAGTCTTGTTCTTTGCAACCTTGATGTGGTCCTTGTCCTTGCTTAAGGACGAAGGTG